TAATGAAAATGGGGGGGAGGGGGCATGGTGTCGATGAAAAGGCACCTGCGAGGGAAGATCATTGTCTTTACAAATTCTAAAATCTCTGAGTAGCATCCAACCAGGAGAGATTCCTCTACATTAAAATGACATATTTACAAATGGGGAAATTTTATAGTTTAACTGTCTGAGCAGTAATTGGTTCATTTCAAAAGTGCTGCATATTTTCTGACATCTCATGAAAGTAGAAAAAAAATGAAAATCCCCAAAGAATTGATACTATGGTCTGGGGTCATAATTATCAGAGTAAGAAATGTCATTCTTTAAAAACCATTATTGCAAGAGCTTTATAAATATCACATATATTACAATAGTTCTACAAAGTAAGGTTTATCAGACTCACTTTGCAAATTATGAATTTTCAATTTTCTGAAGTTTACAAGACTTGTGACAGAGCTGGTAATACACCTTTGGTCTGCATCTGTCAAGAGGCCACACTGTTCTACTCCTCCCAGCCTGAGGCACACCTAATGTCCTTCAATTCTCTTGTCTTCTCACTACTCCTGTATCTCAGAGGTTTCTATTTCAAGATGGCAGAGTAGAAGAATGTCTGTCCATCTCCTCCTGCACCAAAACTGCTACTAGCTGTTGAACAACTATCGACAGGAGGATGTCAGAACCCACCGAAAAAAGATATCCCATGTACAAAGACAAAAAAGAAGCTGCATCACAACAGTAGGAGGGGCGCAATCACAATACATTCTAATCCCATACTCACATGAATGAAGCAGGAGAAAGGCAAATAGAGTTTTGCCAAGAGAACACACTGGTCATAGCAAACACCCTCTTCCAACAACACAAGAGAAGACTCTACACATGGACATCACCAGATGGTCAACACTGAAATCACATTGATTATATTCTTTGCAGCCAAAGATGGAGAAGCTCTACACAGTCAGCAAAAACAAGACCAGGAGCTGACTGTGGCTCAGATCATGAACTCCTTATTGTCAAATTCAGACTTAAATTGAAAAAAGTAGGGAAAACCACTAGACCATTCAGGTATGACCTAAATCATATCCCTTATGACTATACAGTAGAAGTGAGAAATAGACTTAAGGGACTAGAGCTGATAGAAAGAGTGCCTGATGAACTATGGACGCAGGTTCGTGACATTGTTCAGGAGACAGGGATCAAGACCATCCCCATGGAAAACAAATGCAAAAAAGCAAAATGGCTGTCTGAGGAGGCCTTACAAATAGCTGTGAAAAGAAGAGAAGCAAAAAGCAAAGAAGAAAAGGAAAGATATTCCCATTTGAGTGCACAGTTCCAAAGGATAGCAAGGAGAGATAAGAAAGCCTTCCTCAGTGATCAATGCAAAGAAATAGAGGAAAACAACAGAATGGGAAAGACTAGTGATCTCTTCAAGAAAATTAGAGATACCAAGGGAACATTTCATGCAAAATGGGCTCGATAAAGACAGAAATGGTATTGACCTAAGAGAAGCAAAAGATATTAGAAGAGGTGACAAGAATACACCGAAGAACAATACAAAAAAATCTTCATGACCCAGATAATCACGAATGGTGTGATCACTCACCTAGAGCCAGACATCCTGGAATGTGAAGTCAAGTGGGCCTTAGAAAGCATCAGTACAAACAAAGCTAGCGGAGGTGATGGAATTCCAGTTGACCTATTTCAAATCCTGAAAGATGATGATGTGAAAGTGCTGCACTCAATATGCCAGCAAATTTGGAAAACTCAGCAGTGGCCACAGGACTGGAAAAGGTCAGTTTTCATTCCAGTCCCTAAGAAAGGCAATCCCAAAGAATGCTGAAACTACCACACAATTGCGTTCATCTCACACGCTAGTAAAGTAATGCTCAAAATTCTCCAAGCCAGGCTTCAGCAATACGGGAACCGAGAACTTCCAGATGTTCAAGCAGGTTTTCAAAAAGGCAGAGAAACCAGAGATCAAATTGCCAATATCTGCTGGATCATCAAAAAAGCAAGAGAGTTCCAGAAAAGCAGCAATTTCTGCTTTATTGACTATGCCAAAGCCTTCGATTGTGTGGCTCAAAATAAACTGTGGAAAATTCTGAAAGAGATGGGAATACCAGACCACCTGACCTGCCTCTTGAGAAACCTGTATGCAGGTCAGGAAGCAACAGTTAGAACTGGACGTGGAACAACAGACTGGTTCCAAATAGGAAAAGGAGTATGTCAAGGCTATATATTGTCACCCAGCTTGTTAAACTTACATGCAGAGTACATCATGAGAAACGCTGGGCTGGAAGAAGCACAAGCTGCAATCAAGATTGCCAGGAGAAATATCAATAACCTCAGATATGCAGATGACACCACCCTTATGGCAGAGAGTGAAGAGGAACTAAAAGCCTCTTGATGAAAGTGAAAGCGGAGGGGAGGAGCCAAGATGGCGGAGGAATAGGACAGGGAGACCACGCTCTCCCCTCCAAATTCATCGAAAGAACAATTCAACACAGAGCAAACTTCACAAAACAACTTCTGATCACTAGCTGAGGACATCAGAAGCCCAGAAAAGCAGCCCATTGTCTTTGAAAAGAGGTAGGACAAAATATAAAAGATAAAAAGAGAGACAAAAGAACTAGGGACGGAGACCTGTCCCGGGAAGCGAGTCTTAATAGAGGAAGTTTCCAAACACCAGGAAACCCTCACACTGGCGGGTCTGGGGGAAGTTTTCGAATTTCAGAGGGCAACCTAACTGGGAGGAAAAATAAATAAAATCCACAGATTACGTGCCTAAAAGCATTTCCCAGCAGAAAAGTACCCCAGATGCCCGCATCCACCACCAGCAAGTGGGGGGCGGAATGGAGAGAAGCGGGTGGCATTGCTTAGGGTAAGGACCGGGCCTGAGTGCCCTGAGGGCAATCGGAGGGAACTTTTGTGAGATACCAACTTAAACTGTGGGACAACAAAAGAGAGAGAGAAAATTAACTGGCCTGAACACAGTGCCAGCCATTCACAGAACAAAGGGTCTGAGCAAGTCCAGAGGAGCTAGCCGGCTGTGGACTGGCCCAGCCCCACTGGAGGCAGGAGGCAGGGGGGAGGGGAAAGGGGCAAACTCGGCCCCAGAGGTGGCATCCCCTACCACACTGCAAACCGGCCTCCAGTTTCTAACCAAAGACTTCCTGAGATTCTGGATGGTGGACATCCGCCGGGAGGGTCGTGGCTAAATACAGGGCGCACGCACCCAAGCGGCGCGAGCAGAAACTGAGGCTGGGGCTGCAGAGGGGAGAAGGCACACCTCACCCGGGGAGAGTGCTCCCGTCAAGCTCCTGACTGCCTGAGCTGCTCGGGCTGAGGAAGGCACAAAACGCAGGCGCAACCGAGTCCGTGCTTTTGTGGAGTACCCGAAAACTGGAACTGATCGCAGTGCAGGGCATGCTCCATATAGAGCAGCTGGGAGCCTGAGCAGCGTAGTTGGAGAAAACAGCGCCCCCCCACCCCCAACAGTGCGACGGAACTAGTGAACCTGAACAAGAGACCACCTCTGCCCACCTTTGTCAGGGTGGAAATTAGACACTGAAGAGACCGGCAAACAGAAGTCAAATAAACAAAGGGAACCACTTCAGAAGGGACCTGTGCAACAGATTAAAATCCCTGTAGATAACACTGACTACACCGGAAGGGGCCTATAGATACTGAGAAGTGTAAGCTGGAACGAGGAGCTATCTGAAACTGAACCAAACCCACACTGACTGCAACAGCTCCAGAGAAATTCCTAGATATATTTTTACTTTTTTAATTAAAAAAATTTTTTTCTGTTCTTTTTTTATTTTTTCTCTTCTATTTTCTTTTAAAATTCCCTATTACTCCCCCATTACTCCGTAACTTTCATTTTCATATATTTTTACGATTTTTTTAATGAGGAAAAAAAGCTTTTTTCTTGTTTTTTTTCTTTTCTTTTTTCCTTTTCTCTTATTTTCCATTAAAGTCCTCTATTACTGCTCTACTACTCCTTAATTTTCATTTTCATTTCACTATAACCTTGCAAAAAAAAAAAAAGAGAAGCCCTATTTTTAAACCGAACTTCATATATATTTGTAAAATTTTTTGTGTTTTTGTTTTTAATATTGTATCTTTAAGAGTCTAACCTCTACTCTAGATTTTTAATCTTTGTTTTTCAGTATGTGATATAAATTTTGGACATTTAAGAAGCCAATATTCAGTTCCCATTTTTATTCAGGAGGGTGTTGATTACTCTCTCCCACTTTTGACTCTCTGTTTTATACCTCAGAACACCTCTGTTTCCTCCTTTCCCCTTCTCTTCCCAATCCAATTCTGTGAATCTATGTGGGTGTCTGGGCTATGGAGAACACTTTGGGAACAGACAACTGTGCAGATCTGTCTCTCTCCTCTTGAGTCCCCCTTTTCTCCTCCTGCTCACCTCTATCTCCTTCCTCCCTCTCCTATTCTTCATGTAACTCTGTGAACCTCTCTGGGTGTCCCTCATGGTGGAGAATCTTTTCACCATTAACCTAGAAGTTTTATTATCAGTGCTGTATAGTTGGAGAAGTCTTGAGACTACTGGAAGAATAAAACTGAAATCCAGAGGCTGGAGACTTAAGCCCAAAACGTGAGAACACCAGAAAACTCCTGACTACACGAAACATTCAGTAATAAGAGACCATCCAAAAGCCTCCAAACCTACACTGAAACCAACCACCACCCAAGAGCCAGTAAGTTTCAGAGCAAGACATACTACGCAAATTCTCCAGCAACGAAGAAACATAGCCCTGATTGTCAACTTACAGGCTGCCCAAAGTCACACATAACACATAGACCCATCTCAAAACTCACTACTGGGCACTCCATTGCACTCCAGAGAGAAGAAATCCAGTTCCACGCACCAGAATACTGATGCAAGCTTCCCAAACCAGGAAACCTTGACAAACCAATCGTCCAACCCCACCCACTGGGTGAAACCTCCACAATCAAAAGGAACCACAGACCTCCAGAATACAGAAAGCCCACTCCAGACACAGCAATCTAAAGAAGATGAAAAGCAGAGAAATACCCAGCAGGTAAAGGAACATGAAAAATGCCCAGCAAGTCAAACAAAAGAGGAGGAGATAGGGAATCTACCTGGAAAAGAATTTAGAATAATTATAATAAAAATGATCCAAAATCTTGAAAACAACATGGAGTCACAGATAAATAGCCTGGAGACAAGGATTGAGAAGATGCAAGAAATGTTTAATAAAGACCTAGAAGAAATAAAAAAGAGTCAATTAAAAATGAATAATGCAATAAATGAGATAAAAAACACTCTGGAGGGAACCAAGAGTAGAATAATGGAGACAGAAGATAGGATAAGTGAGGTAGAAGATAAAATGGAAATAAATAAAGCAGAGAGGAAAAAAGAAAAAAGAATCAAAAGAAGTGAGGACAACCTCAGGGACCTCTGGGACAATGTGAAACACCCAACATTCGAATCATAGGAGTCCCAGAAGAAGACAAAAAGAAAGGCAATGAGAAAATACTCGAGAATATAATAGCTGAAAACTTCCCTAAAATGGAGAAGAAAATAGCCACCCAAGTCTAAGAAACCCAGAGAGTCCCAAACAAGATAAACCCAAGGCGAAACACCCAAAGACACATATTAGTCAAATTAACAAAGATCAAACACAAAGAACAAATATTAAAAGCATCAAGGGAGAAACAACAAATAACACACAAAGGGATTCCCATAAGGATAACAGCTGATCTATCAATAGAAACCCTCCAGGCCAGAAGGGAATGGCAGGAAATACTTAAAGTAATGAAAGAGAATAACCTACCACCTATATTACTGTACCCAGCAAGGATCTCATTCAGATATGAAGGAGAATTCAAAAGCTTTACAGACAAGCAAAAGCTGAGAGAATTCAGCACCACCAAACCAGCTGTTCAAAAAACGCTAAAGGATCTTCTCTAGACAGGAAACACAGAAAGGTTGTATGAACATGAACCCAAAAGAATAGACTAGAAGGAACATACCTCAACATAATAAAAGCTATATATGACAAACCCACAGCAAGCATTACCCTCAATAGTGAAAAACTGAAAGCATTTCCCCTAAAATCAGGAACAAGACAAGGGTGCCCACTCTCACCACTACTATTCAACAGAGTTTTGGAAGTTTTGGCCACAGCAATCAGAGCAGAAAAAGAAGTAAAAGGAATCCAGTTAGGAAAAGAAGAAGTGAAACTCTCGCTGTTTGCAGCTGACATGATCCTCTACATAGAAAACCCTAAAGACTCTACCAGAAAATTACTAGAGCTAATCAACGAATATAGTAAAGTGGCAGGATATAACATTAACACACAGAAATCCCTTGCATTCCCGTACACTAACAATTAGAAAACAGAGAGAGAAATTAAGGAAACAATACCATTCACCATTGCAACAGAAAGAATAAAATACTTAGAAGTATATCTACCTAAAGAAACAAAAGACCTATACATAGAAAACTATAAAACACTGATGAAAGAAATCAAAGAGGACACAAACAGATGGAGAAACATACCGTGTTCATGGATTGGAAGAATCAATGTTGTCAAAATGGCTATTCTACCCAAAGCAATCTATAGATTCAATGCAATCCCTATCAAGCTACCAACGGTATTTTTCACAGAACTAGAACAAATAAATTCTCAATTTGTATGGAAATACAAAAAACCTTGAATAGCCAAAGTAATCTTGAGAAAGAAGAATGGAACTGGAGAAATCAACCTGCCTGACTTCAGGCTCTACTACAAAGCCACAGTCATCAAGACAGTATGGTACTGGCACAAAGACAGAAATATAGATCAATGGAACAAAATAGAAAGCCCAGAGATAAATCCACGAACCTATGGACACCATATCTTTATTTTTTTTTTCATTTATTTTTATTAGTTGGAGGCTAATTACTTTACATCATTGCAGTGGTTTTTTTTTTTTTTTATTATAAGGAAGTTATTTTGTTTTTTTTTTGTTTTTTGTTTTTTTTAAAAATTTATTTATTTTTTTTTTTTATCACAACCATAGTGTATCTTTTTTTTTTTTTTTTTTTACATGTATTCCCCATCCCGGTCCCCCCTCCCACCTCCCTCTCCACCCAATCCCTCTGGGTCTTCCCAGTGCACCAGGCCCGAGCACTTATCTCATGCACCCAACCTGGGCTGGTGAACTGTTTCACCCTAGATAATATACGTGTTTCAATGCTGTGCTCTTGAAACATCCCACCCTCGCCTTCTCCCAGAGTCCACAAGTCTGTTCTATACATAGGAGTCTCTTTTTCTGTTTTGCACATAGGGTTATCATTACCATCTTTCTAAATTCCATATATATGTGTTAGTATACTGTAATGGTCTTTATCTTTCAGGCTTACTTCGCTCTGTATAATGGGCTCCAGTTTCATCCATCTCATTAGAACTGATTCAAATGAATTCTTTTTAATGGCTGAGTAATATTCCATGGTGTATATGTACCACAGCTTCCTCATCCATTCATCTGCTGATGGGCATCTAGGTTGCTTCCATGTCCTGGCTATTATAAACAGTGCTGCGATGAACATTGGGGTACACGTGTCTCTTTCAGATCTGGTTTCCTCGGTGTGTATGCCCAGAAGTGGGATTGCTGGGTCATATGGCAGTTCTATTTCCAGCTTTTTAAGAAATCTCCACACTGTTTTCCATCACCCTCAATGGTGAAAAACTGAAAGCATTTCCCCTGAAATCAGGAACAAGACAAGGGTGCCCACTCTCACCACTACTATTCAACATAGTTTTGGAAGTTTTGGCCACAGCAATCAGAGCAGAAAAAGAAGTAAAAGGAATCCAGATAGGAAAAGAAGAAGTGAAACTCTCACTGTTTGCAGATGACATGATCCTCTACATAGAAAATCCTAAAGACTCTACCAGAAAATTACTAGAGATAATCAACGAATACAGTAAAGTTGCAGGATATAAAATTAACACACAGAAATCTCTTGCATTCCTATACACTAACAATGAGAAAACAGAAAGAGAAATTAAGGAAACAATACCATTCACCATTGCAACAAAAAGAATAAAATACTTAGGAGTATATCTACCTAAAGAAACAAAAGACCTATACATAGAAAACTATAAAACACTGATGAAAGAAATCAAAGAGGACACAAACAGATGGAGAAATATACTGTGTTCATGGATTGGAAGAATAAATATTGTCAAAATGGCTATACTACCCAAAGTGATCTACAGATTCAATGCAATCCCTATCAAACTACCAACGATATTTTTCACAGAACTAGAACGAATAATTTCACAATTTGTATGGAAATACAAAAAACCTCGAATAGCCAAAGTAATCCTGAGAAAGAAGAATGGAACTGGAGGAATCAATCTGCCTGACTTCAGACTATACTACAAAGCCACAGTCATCAAGACAGTATGGTACTGGCACAAAGACAGAAATATAGATCAATGGAACAGAATAGAAAGCCCAGAGATAAATCCACGAACCTATGGTCACCTTATCTTCGACAAAGGAGGCAAGGATATACAGTGGAAAAAAGACAACCTCTTTAACAAGTGGTGCTGGGAAAACTGGTCAACCACCTGTAAAAGAATGAAACTAGAACACTTTCTAACACCATACACAAAAATAAACTCAAGATGGATTAAAGATCTAAATGTAAGACCAGAAACTATAAAACTCCTAGAGGAGAACATAGGCAAAACACTCTCCGACATAAATCACAGCAGCATCCTCTATGACCCACATCCCAGAATTTTAGAAATAAAAGCAAAAATAAACAAATGGGACCTAATGAAACTTAAAAGCTTTTGCACAACAAAGGAAACTATAAGCAAGGTGAAAAGACAGCCCTCAGATTGGGAGAAAATAATAGCAAACGAAGCAACAGACAAAGGATTAATCTCAAAAATATACAAGCAACTCCTGCAGCTCAACTCCAGAAAAATAAATGACCCAATCAAAAAATGGGCCAAAGAACTGAACAGACATTTCTCCAAGGAAGACATACAGATGGCTAACAAACACATGAAAAGATGCTCAACATCACTCATTATCAGAGAAATGCAAATCAAAACCACAATGAGGTACCATTACACACCAGTCAGGATGGCTGCTATCCATTGCAGTGGTTTTTGTCATACATTGAAATGAATTAGCCATGGATTTACATGTATTCCCCATCCCGGTCCCCCCTCCCACCTCCCTCTCCACCCAATCCCTCTGGGTCTTCCCAGTGCACCAGGCCCGAGCACTTGTCTCATGCACCCAACCTGGGCTGGTGGACACCTTATCTTTGACAAAGGAGGCAAGGATATACAATGGAAAAAAGACAACCTCTTTAACAAGTGGTGCTGGGAAAACTGGTCAACCACCTGTAAAAGAATGAAACTAGAACACTTTCTAACACCATACACAAAAATAAACTCAAAATCTAAAAGATCTAAAGGTAAGACCAGAAACTATAAAACTCCTAGAGGAGAACATAGGCAAAACACACTACGACATAAATCACAGCAGGATCCTCTATGACCCACCTCCCAGAAAATTGGAAATAAAAGCAAACATAAACAAATGGGACCTAATGAAATTTAAAAGCTTTTGCACAACAAACGAAACTATAAGCAAGGGGAAAAGACAGCCCTCAGATTGGGAGAAAATAATAGCAAACGAAGCAACAGACAAAGGATTAATCTCAAAAATATACAAGCAACTCCTCCAGCTCAACTGCAGAAAAATAAATGACCCAATGAAAAAAGGGGCCAAAGAACTAAACAGACATTTCTCCAAAGAAGACATACAGATGGCTAACAAACACATGAAAAGATGCTCAACATCACTCATCATCAGAGAAATGCAAATCAAAACCACAATGAGGTACCATTACACACCAGTCAGGATGTCTGCTATTCAAAAGTCTACAAGCAATAAATGCTGGATAGGGTGTGGAGAAAAGGGAACCCTCTTACACTGTTGGTGGGAATGCAAACTAGTACAGCCACTATGGAAAACAGTGTGGAGATTTCTTAAAAAACTGGAA